TTTAGCACACGCATAATTTGCAACAAGTTTGATTAAAATTGGTGCAAGCAATACGAAGATCTCGAAACTTCGCCCGCATAAAAGTCTTTTTATTTTCGCGCAAGATTCTCATTTTTTTCAGACACACGTACGCACGCACACAAGCGAGTCAGTTTGTCCATCAAGCCGTATTTGCATCGCCAAGCGATTTAGCTTCAGATCATACGTATATGCACGCACACAAGCGACGCGCGTTTGTCCGTCAGAGTGCGTTTGTAATATATATAGGCTGCAATAAGCAACATGTTCATGAATTTACGTTAGACTAGAGGAAAAGATTTATGATCGACTATTAGATGTACATATCAAGCTGTAATTACAATTTCAAGTATATTTTCTTATAGTATTATATCAATTTGCGTTAGTAATGTCCGCGATTTACATTACAAACATGTAATCTGAATTTAAAATTAATTGGCGAAAAATAGAAGATTTTCGTAGATAAAATATTATAAAGATAATAATAAATATTATAAATATTTATAATAATAAATATTAGATAATAATAAATATATATTAGAAATATTATAAAGATTTCCATATTGACTGCACCAAACAGAATGAACGCATATTACGTATGCAATAAATATTAAATCGATCATGTATCTTTTCGTTTAGCGTAAGCTCCTAAATAAAATAAAATAATCACTTGAGACCCACACATTTGCATTTACAATTACGAGGTCACTTCATAAGATAGCAAAAATAGCTAAAATTCAAACTGTAATAAATTTCTATGATAATAATAAACGAAAAAAAAAAACGATAGAAATTGATGGAATTTGCAGAGAATTTAATTGTTTTCTACCGTAATGTATCATTTTACTATATCGAATCCGAAAGAAATAATATCGTTGTCTATCTATGTATACTATTTACAGAATCGAATTCTCTTATTCGTTTCTTATCGTTTATTCTTCCATAATTATTTATGAATTAACGGAAACTTAGTCAATTATAAAAAATCAATCGTAAATTCACGATTGATTCTTTATGTGTGTGTTCTCTTTGCATAAGTATCTTTGCATAATATATTAAAAAATTAGAATGTACGAAATATTTAGCCATAATGTGTTATAATCTTTAAAATAATAGGATAGAAAAATATCCATTCTTGACGTAACGACTTTACGATAGATTACAATGCGCATTCTATGAATTTACAATTGATTTTTTATGATTGACTAGGCTTCCGTTAATTCATAATTATGGAAAAAGAAATGATATGAAACGATCGTTAAGAGAATTCGATTCTATGAATAGTACACCTAGATAGACAACAATATTATTTCTTTTTGTCGTGATTACTTGGAATTAATTCTAAACATATTCCAATGATTGAATAAAAGAGAATGATAGAGAACGATAGAACTTAGAATTTGATTAAGAGAGTTATAGACTGCACCAATCAGAATGGACGCATTACGTGCGTAATAAACATTAAATCAATCATGTATCTTTTCGTCTAGCGTAAACTTACAAATAAAATAAAACAATTTTATTGATAAATGTAATAAAGTTCAATGATGATTACGAGTGTGTTCCTATATTCACTATCAGTATTGAAGATCTATAGTTTGTGTTACGTACACGTATAGAGTTTCAGTACCAGTAGTAGATATTGGAATGTAGCCTATGAGTTCACATTAGGGGAAAAGATACATCACTACATAGAAGAAATTTTATAGTAAAATGTGTTACGAAATTGTCTGTGCACGCTGAAAAAAGTGTAAATTCAATTAGTGTGATTAGAATAAATTTTGTTGATTAGCAATATTATTAAAACCAATAAGCTAATAAATTAAATGGCATAACTTATTGGTTTTCATAATAGTGTTACTGAATCAACAAAACATTTTCAATCACATTGATGTGACTGAATTTATATTTTTTTTATGTACCTCCCTATCATAAATATGTATTTATATATATATATATATATATATATATATATATATATATATATATATATATA